TGAACTGGATCACAGCTGATCTCATCCAAATGTACCAGTTTCGGGATTCTTTGTGGTCAAAATTTAAGCGTACTGGCTCTATGAATGATCACGGTGCATATAGACAATGGCGAAATATATGCACAAAACAGACAAAACTGGCCAAGGCCCAATATTTCTATGAAAATCTGAACAGTAACATCTCAAACCCTAGAAACTTTTGGAAAGTCATAAATAAACTACAAACTCCCCCAATCCACTCCCAACCCTCCACTGTCAAAGTGGGTAACCAAACCCTGCAACTTCCCTTAGATGTAGCAAATGCCTTTAACAATTATTTTGTCGGATGCTCTACTGCCCTGATTGCCAAGCTAATAAATGACACGCATCCTGAAACTACAAATGTGGATCAGGCCCCACTAAATTTGCAAAGGCCCAATATAGATAAGTTTAATTTTAGACCTGTACCTGTTAGTGTCATTAAAAAACATCTTAATAATCTAAAAATGAAAAACCAGTCCGGACCTGATCAAATCCCAGCAATGCTGTTGAAGCTCAGTGCGCCGGCAATTGCTAAACCCGTCTCAACTCTAATTAACGAATCCTTGGTGTCTGGATACATACCCAAACTTTGGAAGACTGCGAGAGTAGTGCCTATCCATAAAAGTGGTGACACTACTTTGGTTTCTAACTATCGCCCAATATCATTGCTCCCTGTATTGTCAAAAATCTTAGAAAAATGTGTCCATACGCAACTTTGTGAGTACTACCAACAATTAAACTATCTGACCCCTGATCAATCGGGCTTTCGCCAGAATCACTCCACTACAACTGCCCTCCTAAAAGTTTGCAATGACATCCAAACTGGCATGGAACAAGGAGCCCTAACTGGAGCTATTTTCCTTGATTTTGCTAAGGCCTTTGACACAGTAGACCACGACATTCTACTGCACAAACTCAAAAACTCAGGTATTGGTGATCGTTCTTTAAACTGGTTTCGATCGTATGTATCGGATCGCTCGCAATATGTGTCCATTTCTGACAGTGACTCCCTCCCTCTCCCAGTCACGTGTGGTGTTCCCCAGGGTTCCATTCTCGGCCCCCTACTATTTACATTATTTATAAATGATCTGCCTAATGTCTGCCAATCCTCAAATGTACACATGTACGCAGATGACACGGTAATATATGCGAGCAAATCCAATCTACCTCAACTTGAGGTTTTGCTCCAAGACCAGTTTACAGAGGTAGAAAAGTGGATCGCAAAAAACAAACTCTTCCTGAACACTGACAAAACTGTCACAATGATCTTTGGAACGGTACCTAAATTACACAAATTACACAATCCCCACCTATCCATCAAAACAAATTCAAATGGCACACTGACCGCGGTCCACTCTTTCAAATACTTGGGTATGATATTAGACCCCAATCTATCTTTTAGCCTGCACATAGAAAAGCTTGCATCTAAACTTTATCCAAAATTAGGTGCCCTGTACAGAAACAAAGCCTGCCTAAGCCCTACAGTAAAGGAAAAGATTGTACAGCAAATGCTGATGCCAATCATTGATTATGGGATGTAGTATATGCGTCTGCATCGCAATCCCACATTAATAAACTCAACACATTGTATAACTCGTTCTGCAGATTTGTGCTACAATGTAATTACAGGACCCATCATTGTGACATGCTAAAGGAACTAAACTGGCTGTCGTTGGAATCCAGACGCACCCTTCATCTTTCCAGCCTTGTTTTTAAGAGCTTTTCTGGTAAACTCACACCCTACCTGAACAAAATGCTTTCCCCAGCTGTTCCCACTTTCTATAACCTCCGATCCAGTACAAGCACTTTACTTAGTCTACCTCAATACAAAAAGAAAGCGGCCCGATCCTCCTTCTCCTACAGAGCGCCGCAATTGTGGAACGACCTCCCGCACAATTTAAAATCTTCCCTAAGCCTAAAGTCTTTTAAGAGATCCCTCTCTACATACCTCAAAACAGAATGCACGTGTCATGGTTGATTATATATTTCCTGCCTGTTCTATGTTAAATTTTGTATATATTGTGTATTAATATTGTTTTTGTATTTTGTTGTACCTAATGTAACAATGCAATGATTTGTGGACCCAGGACATACTTGAAAACGAGAGAAATCTCAATGTATCTTTCCTGGTAAAATATTTTATAAATAATAAATAAATAAAATGATACTTTGAACACAAAAACTTTCTTTAAAAAAACTGATTGCAATACAGCAATAAAAAAAGACTAGTTTACACCATCCAGTATGGCTAAATAATATCCCTAAAAGCCAAATAACTCGAATGAGAAGAAATTGTTCTAGTGTTCAAATGTTTGAAGAGCAATCAAAATTAATACAAAACAGATATGTGGAAAAAGGGTATAATATAGACCATATACAAGATGATATTGCAAAAATAAAGGACAAAGATCGTACAGAATTTTTGAAAGATAAAAATTTAAACCATAAAAATAAAAACAAAAATAACTATAGTTACAAAGATTTTGCATTTATTACCAAGTACAGTTCTGAAGCCAAAAAAATTGAAAAAATCCTTAAAAAACACTGGGCCATTTTAAAAAGAGATGATGTTTTAGGAGATAAAATTCCAGAAAGGCCTGTAGTTATATATAGGAAGGCAGACACCCTTAAAAATAAATTGGCACCTAGTTTGTTACCAAAATTGATTAAAGGTCCAAATTCAAAAAAAATTTTTACAATCCACAAAAACTCCAGGTTTTCATAAATGTGGAACATGCTCCACATGTGTTTATCAAAAAAGAAAATCTACCTCTTTTGTGGGATTTTATACTAATCAAACATATACTATTAAGAAATTTATCCATTGTATATCCACATATGTGATTTACCTTTTACAATGTGGTTGCGGAGCTCAGTATGTGGGAAGAACCACCAGGACCCTACACACTAGACTCCGGGAACATTTTAATATTAGAAACCACAAAACGGAACAGTGTCCCAAATCATTGTAATTCTTGTCATCTATTTGATTGGTCTACCTTTATTGCTATTGGTATAGATCAAGTAACTCCCCATTGGAGAGGGGGAAATAGAACTAATGATCTAGCCAAAAGAGAGGCCTTTTGGATTTACACACTTAATACCCTTAAGAGAGGTCTTAATCAAGATATTGATCTGGCGGGCCTTTTGTAATTATTTATGTTACATGTTTGATTTTTTATGTTTTGTTTTTTTCCTTATTTGTATATATATATTTTTTTTTTTATAGGTATGGTTTTTAGATATGGATGTATATTTAGATATGGATTTGGGTATATATATACTCCATTCTTCTATATACATATACATGTTTATATTATGTATTTTTTAGTTTGTGTTTCACATAGTACTTGGATGTTATCCATATATTGATATACATATTATTGTTTTTATATTCCTTTGTTTTGTATATTATGTAAACAGATGGTCATTGGTATTTTCTCCCTGTGTCCCACTCTGGGACGTTCGGTGCCCCAAATGCAGCTTGTGCGCCTGGGTTTGTCCGTGCGTTCCACGGTGAAACGCGGAAGTGTCATGGCATAGAGCCGCACGTTATGAACGCCATGCGTTCCAACTTGGAACGCGGAAATGAATACATCTAGCCGCACGTTATGGACGCCATGCGTTCCAGCCTGGAACGCGGAAATAAAAACATCTTGTTACATCCACCGGAAGTGATCACGATGGATGTCCAATCAAAAACCGAGAAGTCCGAACCCGGAAGTGAATGAATTTTCCGCGGCAATTTCAAATGGTGAAGGCTATATAAAGAAAATAGAATTTTTAATTTTCTATCCCTGAAGAAGTCTTTCAAAAGACGAAACGCGTTGGATATTTTGCTACAGAGAGACTCCTTCTCCTGGGTACCACTTGTTAGTGGTGACATGCTGCTATGAACTTTATTTGATGTAAGTGCATTTTGTATAAATAAATTAATTTTTATCTACAATACTGCTCTATATACCTCTTTTTCTTCTGAGGATTGAGCGTCTTGAATTTGCACCTTTGGTCCGTATATACAAGCTTCCTGAGAGAAGAACCTTTTATCCACATACCCTATGGAAGGGAGACAAGTTCAGATCTACAGTTTGGTCCTGTAAGTTCTCTACCTCCGGGAGTGCATTATACATTGACTGTACATGCTTCACTATTGTGTGATTTTTCTTATTTTTTAGATCTTGTGAAGGAAGTTTCTTGTATTATCTACAGGTTGTATATATTTTTTTGTGCTACCCCTTTAATCTATACTAGTATTTTATACAGTATAGATTTACAAATATTAGTGTTTCAAAACAGTCAAATGTTTTACAACGATATCAGTGAAAGTGATTTTTTTGCATTTTTCACACACAAACGGCACTTACACTGATGATATAATTGTTGTGATACGTTTTACGGTTTTGAAACACTAATATACACAAATGGTATGCCATCATGGGGGGGGATTCTCATACGGTCTCAAAGGCAACGTAACCAACCTGGCGAATTTCAATGTGAAAAGAAATGAAAACTGTAACATGCTATATTTTACCCTGTAACTTCCCAAAACACCATAGGGGGTACTGTTTTACACGTGAGACATCGCTGAATACAAATGTGTATTTTATTGCAGTAAAAGCAAACAGTATTATGACATTCACAGTTAAAATGTCATGTAGAACAAAAAATAAAAATGTCTTAATTTCTCAACTTTTTAAAAATATTTTATTCTTTCATAGCTAAATATTTGATGTTAAATGAAAGCCCTATTTATCCTGAATAAAATGATATATAATAAAGTGTAGGTGCACATAATATGAAAGAGGTGAATTACGGTTGGACAGACATCTAGTCAAATTCCAAGTTTTGTTTACATTTTATTTTGATCAAAACGTGTACATTTGGCTCAGTCCTCAAGGGGTTAACAATAGTTCTAGTAATGTTAAAGGGTTACTCTAAACTCCACGAACGAACACTTCAGTGATTTGAAGTGGCCATGGTGCCTCTAGTCTGTATGAGCAGTGTATTGCTCTAAAACCCTGCACATAGCAAGTTAAAGCCCTTTGGCTGCCGAAGGTGTAACTCAATTTACATTTTCAGATCCATACCCATACCTGGATTGATATTGCGGGAGTTTATAAATGTTGCTGCCCACTTTATGTAGAATTTTGGCCACCGTTTCACACTTGTTTATACAATTTTGTAATTCCACCTACAGCAGTGTCATGGGGCGTCTGTTATAAAATGGTCAACCTCTAGAACAGTAAGGAAGTCTAAGTTGACAAGGAAACCAACCTATCCAAGTTCATCAAAGCCTGTTGTAATGGTTATTGTGCTTGGAGTACCCTGGCGCCACACCCAGGTATTGGGGCAAGTTGTTTTACAAAGGTTTGACCTCTTACATGGTCCTGCTGGGTGCTGGATTTAGAGGTAGGCAGGTTTACAACATCCTGCTTCAGTAAAGCTGTAAAAGCTACATGCCAATCCTGATTCTCATTCATGAGCACAAATTTGCAGAACTCTTGCTCTAGTCTGACTGATGATGCCCCATGACAACGTCAGAGGTAGAGTTACACTTCTGTCAGCCAAAGACTTTAACTCTGTATGTGCAACACTCATGCCACCATTACTGCTTCAAATCACTAAAAGGGTCATGGTCAAGTAGATAATTACATGATAGACTATACCTAGACTTTAGGGTGGCGTTCTACTAAAGCAGACTTGTAGCATTAAAGGATAACTCATTAAATTTTAACTTCTGTTTTTGAAAGTTTTACATTTAATGAAAATGTCTTTTTTTGGTACTTATCCAGCCCCAATAACACACAATGGTGCGAAGATCCTAAAAGGAGCTAGCAGGCACGTCTAAAACTACACGATATCGGTACCACGTTCCAGCGCCCATCTGCTCCTTACATGGAAACCCAGTATGCCTATTCCTTTAGTTTCGAGATGAACTCAGAGCACCCAGCTGTAGTGATGCAAACCCCAGTGCTCATACTGACAGTATTAGCATATGATACCAAAACACCAGCCACAAAGCCAGATATCCATAATTTATTACAGGATATTAAAAAGCTTTTTGCAGCCATCTGGAGCTGGTCAAAATTTATATTCAGGCGGTGACTGCTAGACAAAGTCATCTGAGGAAAAATTATCGACTTACGCCAAGCGGTATCTACTTTCATAGAATCACTGCAACAAGTCCAGACATCCTAAACTTCTCTTGTCCAGCAGGCAGACTTGCTACATGACTGCAGCTAATGTAGCCAACATTAAAATACATGGCATACTGGTCTCTATCACCACAGATGAACCTCCTCACTACCTCAGATGCCTACTGCTTCTATTTTGCCATCTGCACAGGCAAAAAATAATTTGCATCAATAAATCCCCAGAGCTCACTCATCTGCCTCTGACGACACTGTCCAGTGCCAGTCTCTCTCTGATAAAAGCCACATCATGAAAGTTCCTGAAAGGCAATACATCTTATGCCTTTGAATCTACACGACTTACCTTTTTTCAAGACCTGCATAGATCCACTCTATAGTGGAGGAGATGATTGGGTCCAAGCACTCGCAAACTCTGTGAAGCCAGGGTGCAATACTTTTAGTCCGCACCGAGGTTCTGGACTATAGCCAGGTCATCTCCTGAGGCCACAGCCTTCCTCCAGGTATTGTGCCTCCCTACTAGACCTCAGGTGTTAAACTATTCACAATTCTTTGTTTCATTACCTCGGCGGCCTCCGCAGTAGTTAGATTGGCTCTTTAGGCCCTGTTTGGTTGGGAGGAAAAATAAGTTTTGCTTGCATTGGCAACCCAGATGTAAATAGACAGAAAACACACACACACTATACATATTTTTCGTATTTGTTTAATTCATTTAAATGAATTACAAAAATGAAAACATAGGTCCTTTAGTGTTGCAAACGTTTGGCTAAAGGAACAAACTTTTTATTCAAGGTGTCAAGAGAGATTAACATCATCCGTTTGAGTGAAATTCTAAAATCAAAAGTTAGACAAGCATATCTATAACTTAAAATCAGTTCATAATATCCATATCCTATTTCACAGCTGGAGTGCCTGCTGCACACTATACACATATAGCTGGGTCTCCCAGCTGGTGTGAGGTGAGAATCAATAAATCAGTCTGATGTATGATGATTCTATGAAGAATAACCATTTTTTAATCTTGGCAATTTCCCTTTCTGTAGGCCATGAAGGAAAGAACTGTTGAAAGTATTTGACAGGATGTAAAGGAGTAGAACTTCTGTTAACATTTTCCACGTGGTGGAAGATGAATAGTCTGAAAATGTGTAAATTCAATGAGACAACCCAATTTTAAACCAGCCGTTAAAGGAAGTGAGGGGGGAGGAAAAAAAAAAATCCAGTGAAAACTACACTCACTAATCCCCTGGGCCAATGATAACTCTAAGATAAACTGAGCCAGTTGTTGAAATACAACCATTCTCTCAATCCAAGTTTTATGCAGCCAATAGTTACTGGAGGATATAGTTACACCATTTTTCTGCTGCCACCACATACCTTTGATGGTATAAATGAAAGCCACTTTTAGTTATTCCTCCATTGCATGAACAATTTAATTGAGCTATGTGACGTAAATTACATTCTGAATCTTGTCATTCATCCAATCCATCCATCCAAACCATGATATTAAAATTCACTCTAGTAAGCTATAATTTCATTGAACGCTCCATTTTCTGGAAGCAAAGGTACTTGGTCAATTACTTTGATGGAGTCGCAGGCATTGAGGTGTTATTAGATAATATTAAGGGGGAGTGCCATTTTCACTAATCAGACACGTAAATAAACAAAATGCATACTACCGACATCTCTGTCCAGATCCTATAGGAGTTTAATGAACTGGAATCTGACTAGTTGACAGTGTTAACCAAATTACTTTAAAATTAAAAACAAAAATGATAGGTTTCTTGTTCTAAAGAAAGAAAAAAAACAAAACCACCTCCACATTTAGATGCACAGCATTGTGTCTGGATACCAAATCAATACTGCCCTCAGCTGTAAAAACCTGAAGTGTTTTCTTAAAACGCATCTGCTTGATGTAACCCTCAAAATGAGTGTTGGGCTTCCAGGTAATAAAAAAATATTGTGTTACTGTACTAAACAGTGTAAAGTTTAGTTGTTTGCAGCATCTGCTTGACGGGGCCATCTTTCTTCCTCCACTCCAGAATCATACTCTTCCTCGGTTACCTCTTTGTTTTGTGTTCTGGAAGAGAATTTGTATATTATACATGGAACCAATATCGTCACAAGCAGAGACTGTTGTCATCTGCTCCTTCCTTGGGCACAGTATTGGTGAATATAAAGAGAATTTAAAATGCATGGTCAAAATATCCAAAACTGGAAGAAGAAAAAAAAAAAAAATGCTGTCAGCTATGATCAGTTCAGCTACTCTGGTCGTATACTTGAAATTCTCTTGAAGTTTTCTTTGAATTCTCACTTTAGTAAAAAATAACACTGTGTTTTGGCCATAGATAATAGATGGACTACATCTCCACGTTATTGCTGTAAGAGCATTAAGGAAGATGTGTCCACAACATGTGGACTGCCCAAGGTTTGCTACCCCGATCTAGAACATTAAAATACAGGGACAGCATTTTCATCATAATACAAAGTCCTTTGTAATTTCGATTAACTCTTTGTTGGATAGCACAAAGTGAAATGACTAGACATTACTCATTAAAATATTAGCAGGACTCATTTTTGGACCACCAAATTGCTGGCCTGATGGCGACAGTCTCCAGCCTGACCAAGGGCAGCTCATAAAGTCACTTTAAGAACAAGTGTGCATTGTATAAACAAGGTACACATTGAAGAAAAGAGTCCAATAGACTATACCAAAAAAAAAAAAAAAAAAAAAGTTTATTTGAAAGTTTGATAGAGGTAGGAGATATTTACCTGACATAACTAGGTTCTTTCTTCCCCTCCACTACTTCCTGGTCCAGCTGCACACAGACAATGTCTGAATTCGGGACCTCAAACATGGGTTCCAGGAGGAGCTTTTCCTGAGGGAGACAAATCGAAATTTTTTTTACAGGTCCAACAGTTATTAAAGAACTGGAGCAACTAGTAATTGGTACAAACAATAACCAAACTAATACTAATCCATCACTCTGAAAGGCAGAACCGGGTCAACACTGCACATCTGGCAGTGCCAATGGTGTGTCTAAATGCCAATATTTGTTGAGATTTCGAAGTAGTTTTAAGAGCTGGAGCGGTGTGTTCTGTTCATACATTACTCCTAAATCCTCCTTTTCCATTTTTTGCAACATGGGAAAGAGGATTTAGTTGCTTGGTTCTTTCAACCATCCAGAATAAAACTAAAACTGAAATTGAGGTCAGTGACCAGGAAATTCAGAAGAGGATAGACTAAGGAACATCAAGTATGAAAGGCTGAGTGCTTTGGACAATAAAACAAAAGTTTAAAAAAAAAAAAAAATTTTATACCAAGCAAACAATTGATAAATTACAGTTGAATTACTGTTAATGTGTTTGTTTACAAAATACTGAATGGAGACATTCTGAATCCCATTTGTCACACCTGTCTAGTCAAAATTTCTTAGCTCTTTTATTGTGCAGTATTTTCATCAAACACATAATGGTTTAATTGTTATAACAATTCTATTTGAAGAATTGTCTAAATGTTAAATTAACTGATTATACAAGCAAATGTAAATAAATAAATACAGTCCATGGTAATTTATAAAGCAATAGCTCACAAGCCAGTCTAACAGCAAAGCAAAAGTGTTCATCCACCAGCTGTTTTATTCATGTAGGCCAAGATATCAAAACAGTAAAGCATACCACAACCTACATTGTGGTAGGCTGTTTGAATATGCAAAATGCCATTTCAAAATAAAGGCTATAGAGATTATTGCTCACCATGATTGATCTGAGTCCTCTAGCACCGGTTTTTCTTTCAAGGGCAAGCCTCGCAATGGCCCTCAGAGCACCATCTGTGACATTTAATTCACACTGTTTAGGAAAGAAAACAATAAAATAAGGGGACAATACTAACTAATTAAATGCGTTTTGGTCAGCGGCCCAACCTTTTTGTTTTACAATGAAAAAAAAAGTTTTTACATCTGGAATCTGGTAATCCATACATACAAACTAGGATATTAAAACACGCTTATAAGCTATTAGCTTTCATTGAACATTCTATTTTCTGGAACAAGACAAGGTAAGCTCCAATGATCCAGTGGAATGCAGCCTCGCTCTGCAATACAAGATATTTAAATCTTCCTAATGCTTCAATGTAGTTACGGATCACATACACACATACAGCTGAATCCTCACCTTATCCATACTGAACAGTGCCTGGTATTGTGGTACCACTGCATTGCGTGGTTCAGTAAGGATGCGCACGAGTGTTTCCTCATCCAGGCTGTGTAGTGGAACAACAACAGGAAGGCGCCCAACAAACTCTGGTATCATGCCAAATTCAATAAGATCCCTTGCTTCCACGTGTCTAAGTAGACGATCCTTTTCTTCAATATCCTGCACGGCGTTTGATTCTGTGCTTGTGTTTGCGAGGTCAGCTGCTGCCGCCGCTCTGCGACCTTTGCCCAAATTCGAGATGATGCCAAATCCTAGATACTGAAAAATGGGAGGGGGGTGAAATACATTTCAAAATGTATAATGACACTGCAGATTTAAGATTTTTTTTTTTTTATTAAATAAAAGCAAGCAGTGAAAGACCAAACTTAAGTTGCTGAACTTGGAGAAGAAGTGTGCCCATAACAGTTATTCATGTCAACTGCTGTCCAATGGTCTTGGCGGAAAGGCAAGTTAAATGTCTTGTAGCCATATAGATTGTATGAAACAAAACTGGACCTCAAAGACTACCTTCAAAGTTTACATTTTGGGTACAGAGTGTAGCTTCTGCGGAACTTGGTACAAGCATTTAGAAAAGATAAGCTATATCAGACAAACCATCTACCGTCTAAAATAAGCACAATTAAAAAGGGACACTCCAAGCACTCTGGGTTTGACAGTTTATAGTAGTGGATATGGTGCTAGGAATGCTGACTCTCAGGTTTGTTCATTGTCAAGAGTTTGATAAATAAAGATCTCAACGGTAACCAAATACCATTCCTTCTGCCACCAATGTGACACAGAGTTCATCTCATAAAAGCCAATATGTTTATATGCATTCAAGACCGTACTCCTAACCACAACAAAGGTGCAGTGGTTAAAAAAATAAAAAAAAATAAATAAAAATAGAAAAGTTTAGAACAGCCCTGTACACAAGAATATTTGTACTAAGATCTCCGCAGAAGCAGTAGTAACACGAATAATGGGAACATTTGCCGTAAGACCTAACATTACTTTGCTAATCCACAGGAAGAAAGCAACACAATAAAATAAAACTAGGATACAAAACAAACCTTCTCATTTTTCCTTCTGCTGATGATCCTGTCGAGGCCATTGAATGCTCCTGATGCCACAAAGAGGATGTTTGTTGTGTCAACTTGAACAGTTTCGCCACGTAGTTTTCTTGAATTTTTTTCTGGGACATTGACAATTGTGCCCTCTAGAAGCTTCAACAAACCCTGAAAATATACATAGCATAATTTGTTTAAATAAGTGCAGCTAAGCATGTATTCTATGGTGTATTCACACCAAATGAAAGTTTTTGAATATGGTTGTCAAATCATAGCAATAAAGTGTTTTTATACAATACTTATTTCAAGCTCTTTAAGTATACCTATTCCATTATTCTTCCTGCTCATGAACGTCAGACGCTTGGGAAAGACTTTCAATGAGTGTGTTTCAGACGGTAGTTTTGACAGAGCAAAGAAAACTCTACCATTAAAAATGTCTGTTACCAAGACACCAAGTTTCCCTAAAATGTCCCACATAAACAAACACCAAGTTTCCACAGTAAATTGCACACATACTTCATTCCTTGGATGGTGACAGTCCACAAGTCATGACACATGGGATTAAAGCCCTCTCAAATCAGAGGAGATGGCAAATCAACACACCCTTCTCTTCATTGGGTGCTTGTGCTTTGGTGTGTGCTTCAACTGGCCTGCTTGACTTATTTTTTCTTCCTACTGTTCCTCGTCCACATGGCTGTATCCAAACTGATTGTAGGGAAGGGGCTAGAGGAAGGAATGTGTGGAAGCATTGCACCATGGGCCTTTCTACCTCCACCAGTGGTGAGGGACTCATACGTCATGACTTGTGGGCTCTCACCATCAAGAAAAGTGAATGTGTCTTGCATGACAAAAGTATTAGTTTTCTCTCCAGAATTCTGGACGCGGACACTCCTAAGAGTGGAAATGTATAGAACTAGGTTTTTTTAAAAATAAATAAAAACACACTGGTCTAATATTAACAAGGCAGCTTTAAAACAAGTTATTCATACATACTTGCTGAACTCCTTCACCGCCAACATCTCTCAGCTGATGGATGCCTGGGACGCTGCCTATCTTGTCAACCTCATCCAGAAATACGATTCCTGCAAGCACAAAACATGGACACTAGCGACAACTAGACTTTGGAGAGTTTCCTTTGAATAAAACTTCCATCATGGGCGACAGCACAAAAGCAGCTGGAAGCCAGATCTTAAACGCTTTAGAGTCATTAAATAAGATAAAGCTCATTCACAAAACTGCATATTCCAATCTTTCAACGTCTAGCACAATTGCAAAGTATCTGGTTCTATTTGCATGTGCCACACTATAATGTCAAATTATTTGCATTACATGCCAATGTCAAATTCAGGAATGAACAAGAGGATTGTATATCTTGACCTAAAGGATAAAAGGACCGATAACTAGCATAATGGGACTCTTCCATACTACTTGATATCTAAAAGCTGCACATTTGTGGTTTTAAACAACCACAAATTAAAGCAGAAAACACCACATACCTTGTTGTGCCTTTTCCACATTATAGTTAGCATCCTGAAGCAATTTGGCAACCACAGACTCAATATCTTCTCCAACATACCCAGCTTGGGTCAGTGTGGTACAGTCACATATAGCAAAGGGAACATCCAAGCATTTTGCAAGAGTCTGTGCCAGTAGAGTTTTACCTGGGAGTCAGAGCAAAATAGGTCAAGAATATGCAAGACACCAAACTTAAAGGTTTCACCTAAGGATCAACTAGATCAGAGTTCAGATGTACTGGACAAGCATTTGACCAAATAACTACATTGTTAATTTTAGCAGAATGTAAATTGTGATTTTCTGTTTTACACGTAACCATTTAAAAGAACTTGATATCACTTTATGACTTGAAAAATGCAGGAAGGCCAAGATAGACTTGCAGATTATATTGCTCTCGTGGCTGTAATTCCATACAAGGAGGAACATTTTTGTACAGGATGTTAGATCAAAGTATTATTAACCAATTTGTCCTTCTGAAAATGCAGTAGTTGCTATTACTGTTGGGAAGAATGAGCATATTTTATCATACCAGAGCCTGTAGGACCCAGCAGCAGGATGTTGCTTTTCTCCAGCTTAATGTCATCATTGTTTGAATCCAACACTTCACCCCCTCTCCTCTCCTGTGGCATCTGCTGGTTTACTTGCTGCTGCATGGATGCTCCCAAGGCATTTCCATGTGGATTGATTCCAGCAATCTGCAGCAGTTCTGATTAGAAAGAAGACGGAACGATGAAGAAAAACACACAAACCACAACTCGGGTTCTCGGACCAAGTCCGTACCAAACAAATTTCAAGAGTTATAACAATGTAGCAAAGACGGTAATGACAGATGAGTAGGCTGGCGCAAAATAATCCCAATGAAGTCAAAAATCAATATTATTTCAGAAATTCCCTGACCTGGGAGGCATGACTTTAGACTACACTAACGCACATTCAATAGGCACGAAAGAAAATTTGTTGCTGAACATATGCATTAATTTTGCATTGAAACATTTTTAAGTAAACAGCCAGCACCAGGAGACGTACAGATCATTTGGATGTAAAACCCAAGCCTGAAGTTTATGTAACCATGTTTTGTCACAGTGAGGCACTTTAAAACTAGATAAAAAAGATTTAAACACACCCCTTTTCCTACATGCATAGTAAAGGGACAGAAGAGAGAAAGTTTGAGACCTGTACACATCTATATTCCCGTGTTACTTTGACCTAAAAAATGTTATGTGGCATTCAGTCAAGTCCAAATTGATTATAGGGACCACAAACAAAACTGATTAAAACAGACCCGTTTTTAGTTACAGATAATTTACCCTCCCAAATCACAAAAGATTTTTTTTTTTTTTAAATACATAATTAAAATTCATGCATGTTTTCATTTAAAGTATATCTCATAAAAGGTGATTTTTATTTGGGCAGTGGAGTGTCCCTTTAATACCGGTCATACTAAACAAGTTGTTTCTTTAATTCGTTGTCCTAGTGGTTTGCAATATGTGGGACAAACTAAAAGAATGTTAAAGTCAGACAGTGAACATGTGAATATAAAACAAGTTTGGTAAACACAGTTTATCAGAACACTATGCAAAATGCTCCAATAGGGACTTTGATAAAATTCAGGAAAGAAGGAGATCCTTCAAGCTTTAGCCTCTTTAAGACTGAATTCAGAATTGGAACTAGTCAATTTACTATGATTTATTGTACAGTAAATACAATTTATCTTTATTTAGGAAATCACTTCATGTAAAATTTGATTAAATGTCTACCATATTGTGTATTAATTACATATTGCTATAAAATTACATGAATTTTTAGTCTTTACATAAAAAAAAAAGATAAAAATTCTGCTGAACACTTCATCCTTAACAGTTTATGCATGGTCAATTAAGTCTGCTTTTAATTAATCAAACATGTATTCCTGACCTAGTGTTATAAAAAGTTTGTGGTGGCAATGTAATTTTACACAATTGTGGAATATCTACCAAGTACCTACAGATTATATTTAAACGAACACTACAGAGTCATACAAAACATGTACTTGTGACCCTATAGTGTTAAAAACTACCATCTAGCCCCTTCTTGCTCCCCTAAATATGGTAAAATCTTACCTGTATTCAAGTCTGCAGCTTCTGCCCTTGATCTGCCTGCTTGGCGGACAATCATAAGTGATTCTCTGAACTAATCACAATGCTGTCCAATAGAGATGTCAAGGTAGCAGAGCAAGCACAAGCCAAACAGCATCTCCTCAGAGATCCATTGAATCAATGCATCTCTATGAGAAAAGCTCAGTGTCTCCATGCAGAGGGTGGAGACATTGAATGGCAGTGCTGCACCTCTAGTAGCCATCTGAGGAGTGGCCACTAGCTTTATCCCTAGGCTATAATGTAAATACTGCATTTTTACTGAAAAAAAATAATAAAAGTGTTGACAGCAAAAAGCCTGAAGGCAATGATTATACTCATCAGAATACAATAAGGTTTTGTTTTTTGTAATATTAATTGTGCATTATCATCTAAAAGTGCTTCCTGTATTGGTTTAAAGACATCAACTTGCAAGGAACTTGCTTACATATTACAATATTTGAAGTGACAATGTGCGAAAGTTTTTTTTTTTTTATATTTCTTTTTAAGTGAGAATGCATATAGTCAAGATCGCTTTAAATATTGTAGACATAATATGGCTGCTTCTATGAGGTCATACCTCTATCACATGATTGATTTGCACTGTAATTTAATTGCACCATGTTTGATATCACTTTAGGACTTGATAAACACCTTACCGCTGTGTCGAAAAGTTTCTGCTGTGAGTGCTGGTATGTTGATCAACAAATAAACATGGCTATTTTTTGTTACCATGCATGACTCAGCACACAACAAATTTGGCTATAGGTCTTCTGCTGCATCCATTAAGTTGCATATTTACTTATGTTGTGGAGCAATCTCATGTTGCACAAACCAGACAGTCTCCTGTCATTTAGTTGCACAATCTCTCAGTGACTTGCAAATCACCCAGAAGAGGTATTTTGTTTAAATAGAGTCCTCCATCCATTAATACTTATAAATATCAGGACACAAGTTTGTTCAATGCAGAAATAGCAAATCTAGAACAAACAAGTAGCAAGAGAGTGAGAACGGACAACAGCTCAATTAGCCTGCCCTTCGGTGGGTCCCCGCTCAGATCTCAAGCTGGTTTTAGCTCATCTTGTGCCATTACAGAGATAACATATCTGAATCATATCAGACTGGTCCCACCCATAATGGCACAAGAGGAGCTAAAACCAGCTTGAGATCTGAACGGGGACCCACAAAAGGACAGGCTAATTGAGCTGTTGTCTATGCTCACCTCTCTTGCTACTTGTTTTTTTCCCCATTTCCCTGTCTGTTCAAGCCTGCAATTTAAAACAGTGCCGTTCTGCAGGAACACAATTAGGTTGCAGGTTTTAGTTGCTTCTAGTGGCTGTCATACAGCCAGCCACTAGAGGCACTTCTGCAGAAATAGCCAAGTGAAACTCAGTCGTGTATCAGGCTGACTCAGACATCTGATTGAAGCAGGGCAGCATTTTGCTATGCATGCACACTAGCCTCCCAATGCTTTCCTATGGGAAATCATGGGTTGGCTGAGAGCTCTCTGGATCTCAGCCAAGGAGATGTGGGATAGCAGCAGAGAGACTACCACTGCGAGGGAGAAAAGGCATTTTTATGACTTACAGGGGGAGACTGTGACCTAAACAATTAAGAGGGCACTATAATGCTAAGAATACACATTTGTATTTCCAACGTTATAGCGTTCCTCTAGTGCTTCTCTAGCTAAAACACATACAAAAATAAACAATTACTACCGTACTAAATATCGATTTTTACTAAGGAACGTATAAAAGGTCAATAGTCACTACCCAGGATTTTATATAGGATTAGGTATACCCTGTATTTAGCAAACAAATTTAGAAAGTAAAAAAGCGGTATTTACATATATCTTGTAATGGGCTCCTCCACTATGGCTCATTGTCAATCATTGTTAGAAACGGTTATTCTTTTCTGGCATCACACAGATTGCAGAAGAGATTAAATAGAAACAATGTCTACAGAAGTTATGGGGTATTTTCAAAAGGATTTAATTTTTTGGTGGAATATCCAAAAGTAACAGTTCCCTATTAAACCTTCACAGAGCATGGCCATTTTAGTTCGTAGCAGCATGCAGCAAGCACAAGGGTGATTGACGTGTGCTCCTGACAAAGGATTGGTGTAAATAGATTTGTAAAGTTAGTCTGTACGGTTTGCAATAAAGTTAGAAGTTAATGGCATTTCTGGGGCTAAATTCAAAAGCATGAAAAAAAAAAATTTAAAAAAAAAAAAAAATTAACTGAGTAGATACCGAAAAGGTTTCCTGTGTTACTACACAGACATGGAGTTGTGTAGAGATGCAGTCACATGATTTAAAACCAGCTTGGCTATGACCCTTCATTGTAAAACTGACAGTTTTACTTTTCCATTGCTTATTGTCATAATGCAGGTTTTCAATGGGACAGAAAACCCACATAGTAGCCCAGTAGTCATCTCTGACTGAAGATATTTAAAAAGGATAAAACTGCATGAACACCATCTAAAATTACAATAACTGCCATAAAATTTTAGAACACCTTCCAGTTCTCCCAGTATTACTGATGCAGTCTTCAAGTGTGTCAAAAAACAAAACAAACCACAAACTCCCTTCATTACCTTGAAGGCTATACAATACATACTACTTCAAAAGTCAAAACTCTGGGGCACATGCATGATATATGTAAGGCAGTATTTCAGGATTAATTGAATATCCACTGTCCTATTTTATAAGAGTGACCATTTTAAGAGAATTTGGTAAAAGTTACACTGTTACATGCTGTCAGATAGCCTGGAATGTTTCCTACACACTCGCTCTGTGAAGCATTTAAAGTTATAGTGAGTATTTCTTAAATAATTATCGATTTTATTGCTACTCTATGAGAAGCATTCTATTGGCAGAGAGATCATCAGTATTGATAATCTGCAGGGGCAGAGAGGAGCTGCAGCATGGAGATACCATCAGAGGATCGATTACAGGAGAGCTGACTTACAAAAACAAGGGGTGCTTAGATCTAAAATAGAACAAACCCTCTAGAGCTATGTTATTGGGCCAATGAATAAACAAACTCCCTTGCATTGCTAATGCTCTAAGATTATATGCCAGAACAAGGGTTAAGTCCACATACAGTAAATATGGCCTGCACCTGTAAAACAAGCTTATCAGGTATGCAGTTCCAATCAGTTGTATTCTAGAAGGACTGATAAGTCAAGTCATAGAACAATTTTCCCTAATAAGTATGGCATGTTCAAGGATGCTAGATGAGAGACCACTTACTTGTAAATCTGTACTCATCCTCCCGTCTTCTCATCTCTAACTCTACAAAGAGGGATTGAAACAATAACATTAAGAGATAATGAGCCACCTGCTTAAGAACTAAAAAAAAAAAATATATATATATATTTGTTTGTGTGCCTGCATGTGTCAGGACCATTGAAAAAGCGTTCTGGTTAAAGCTTAGTGTATGCATTAACAGATGTTAAAGAGTGGATCTATCATAATACATCCATGGTGCCAGTCTGACAGAGCTAGTTAAGCAATTTAAATACTGCCAGGATCTAAATGGCTGTTTGAATAGCACAGTTTAGAGCAAAGCATTAGTTCTCAGCAAAGCAAAAATAAATAAATAAATAAAAAATAAATAAAAAGCAGTACCTATACTTAATTCAGTTTAAGACCAGCTTTCTAGGATATCTTAACTTTTACAAATCTGATTAATTGGACAAAAGGGTTGCATTTACTACTAGTTTATTTAGAAAGACTGAAGAACTCGTCAATGTTGCCATACCATTTATTTTTTTTAATCTGCACAGTATAAGTTTTAAAGGGACACCCCACACACTTATAACTAACTTTAGCTTGCTTTAGTGTTGTGTGTGAAAAGTGTGCGCCACCCCCGTTAAAAAAAAAAAAAAATTAAGAAATTTGTTTTTTGCAGATTTCAATAGAAAGCGCCACTCACAAATATGCCTTTATGCACCCATCTGGCTGTCAGACAAGTAGTCTTGTTACATCCGGATTTGTTCAGCTCAGTGGAGCTAAACTCAAGCAACAGCACTTGTTCAAACCTTAGATTTTGCAAAGACTTCTCATTGAGCTGCAAAAAGTCTGGGCTGGGCTTGCAAAGACTGCAGATTTTGAATGCTGTATTTAGATATACCCCAATGAAATCAAAATACATAATTAAATTAATGCTTTAATTGGGGTACATCTACTAGATTGCTGGGGAAAACAAATACACAATAAAAATTGACCATTTTATTCCTCTAATGAGCTTCCATTTCACACCACCTAATGAGCCCAACACATTGTGACCATTATTGATCATACAACGCAGTTTTAAAGAGCAACCCGAGAGGATGCCGGTCACTCACTGTTTGAGGTTCTATCCCTTTCTAAAAAAGGTCATATGTGGAAACATACAATGTTTATTGCTCCTTGTCCAATTCACTGCATGACCTACCTGTGCCTGTCAATTGCTAAATCTTTAATAGAAAAACTGACCACCACATGAAAATGGTTTAGATGTCAGATGTGGTTTTAAACATCTTATACTATGGTGTAAATTCCAGGAAACTGATGGTTTCCCCTTTAGCCCCTTAAGGACACATGACGGAAATATTCCGTCATGATTCCCTTTTATTCCAGAAGTTGTGTCCTTAAGGGGTTAAGCAATTCCATCCCGCATACACTGGAATGTTTATGTACATGTAAAGCCACACACAACCCCTCCCCCCCAAAATCAAAAACATACTTAAGTTTCAACATGAATATGGTATGGGTAGATCATTTCAACAGTTCCAAATCAATATATAATTTATCTTTCATATTGTGTTATTTAGGAGCTAAACCGGCTCCTAAAGAACACAATATGGACGAAAAATGATATATTGATTTGGAACTGCTGAAGTGTTACTTACCTGCTACTCCTTTCTTCAAGGTCACCAATCCCAGAGGGACTATGGGTATTACACTGCTGCCGTGGCATATATGAGAAACACTTGCTGAGTAGCACAATAACAGCAGAGAAATGCGTGGGGAAGGGATCTCTTGCTGTTCCTGATCACTCAATTCTCAACTTAGACCCTCTTGGTACACAGCTGTATTGCCATGGAATGATTAGTGGTGTAGTGAACACAAAGTTAAAAAATTATAGATTTGCTAGCATTGCAGCTTTAACTTAAGCTGCAGTTGTCTTGAGGACAGGTCTACTTTAAAAGTATACAATCAAATATAGGAAAAGAGCAAAGTTTCTCTCCTTATTTAAAGATAAAGAAATACAATAAAACAGATTTAAAAATCAGTATCTGGGGGAGGAGGAAGGATCCTACAAAGAAAGAACCACATCCCCAACTGAAACGAAACCACATTTCACAGCTGTAAGAAAGGGAGGATTGGTTAAGTGGTTGATAATCAGGTTTCATTACAAATCTTGATGTAAGACAGTGAGCTGAGAAAGGTGGTTATTATCCTATGACGTTTTAAAAGGCTGGGCTATTAGTAGAGGTCATACAACTCACTGTAATTATTCAAAGTAGGGTGGAGAGAATAAGATCTGAACATGGTATATGTAGAAATGACATTAAACTTAAAGGGAAACTTCAGTTACTTGGCAGTAGTAACATATATAAAACCTCAGTTTGACATGCCAAGTTAAAAGTTCCCAAAGGGAGAGAGATATGAAAAGCTGACCAGAAACATTAGGGGAAAATGTATAAAAGTGCCACCATGTGAAAAGTTTGACAGATCACGCAAGATGGGAATAATCAAGGATGTTTTCTTTTTCTTTTATTGAAAAGTTGCAATTTAAATACATCATATTTAAATGTGTTAAACATACAGGGGTTCAGCTCCAGCTTGGAGTGCCCCTTTAAACGCGGTTTCAGAATTACTGTTCTCAGATTTCCTTTATTTCTGCTACGTTGCTCCCTTCCCGATTTCAACATACAGCAACACTATCCTGCCAATACTATTATAAGGTCATCGTAAGCAAGGACAAATGTTAATTTGTTACAAGAGAGAAGTGAACATGCACAGAAAGTTTATACTGGTATGACGTGGATTATACAACTGAAGTTCTATTCGAGAAAATCTAGGGCTCACATTATCCAAGGACCATCAATGAGAAAGGGGGTTTAACGCTCTTAACACTTTCCTCAATATCCCATTTCAATAGAATAAGAGCATCAATAGTGTATCACCATCTGTGAGGACTTCTTACAGAAATATATTCATGACCAAAATGGCCCCACCTTCCAGGTTTCATTATATATACACACACACACACACACACACACACACACACACACAAAATCCCTTTCACAAATTATGAGAAATATAATATATATTTTTTTAAAAGAAAAACATTGCTCCAAGACATATATATGACTTCTATGCATTTTGAAATAGTCAATGTCAGTTTGAAATGCAGAAAAGTTTTGTCTTTAATATAACTTAATTTACATTAAAATATATTTTTAAAAAGCAGTCTAAGCACCATAACCTCCGCAACTCACTGGAGAGGTTATGGTGCCAAAAAGCCAAAATATAGCAATGGATATAATAAGCCACATGTGCCAGTTGAAAGCCTGTTTTTTGTAAAACCTCAAAAAAAAAAAAAAATTTATATATATATATATATATATATATATATTTATTTTTTTTATTTATTTATATTTATATTTTACAGTGGTTATGGTGCCGAGATTGCCCCTATAAGTACAGCTTACATAAAAAAAAAAAAAAAAAACCCACACAATTTACAAAAAAAGCCAGACTTTTTAGCATCGCAGATAACAGTTTGAATGCAAATGTCAAGATCTTTTGATTATGCAATGTAAATAGCTTTAACTCAAAACAACATTTTTATTTGTTTTATAATAGAACAGCATTTGAATTTCTTCCTGCTCGGTTATCAACTACATACACTTTTTTTATTTTATGTTTTATTGCCACTGACTTGTGTGTAAACTGCATACATTTCTCAAAAAGTATGACTTAAATACAGATGAACAGTAGAAGCAAATGCATACTGAATTACATGATACAGTGATCTAGTGGGATTGTACACATACTGGCACCAGTTTGGAAAAGAAACATACAAGTCTGAATCTTGAATTTAAGGATGCAAAAAAATGGCCACATACCAGATGGACTGCAGGTAATTAATCTTCTACTTTATATACAGAGAAGGTGCATTTTGTACATCTAACATCTATTTAATGGAGGAGTGCGCCAGTCAACATGTGTTTTTTTCCCCCACATTGCTTGTTACAGATAATGGTACCATGGAAATCAAACTATCAGACTCACCTCTTGGGGTTAAGGATGCTTGTTTTTCCACCTCTGCTTGCTGCCGGATGTTTGCTGGGATGTTATTGTATATCCGCTTATAATGATTGTAAACGGCAACAGCTAGCACTTTTTTTGCAAAAGACTGACCCACCACATATTTATCGAGGTAGTTGTAGATCTGAAAGAAATGTTACAATGGAGGAGATTCAGTTATGACAGACTTTTAAAATGCAAAAAACAAAAAAAAAAGTTTTTATTATTAACGTCAGACTGCATATAGTCAGTCATTACTAGTTTGTGATAACGAGGGACTTGATAATAACATTTATATGAAGAAACCATTACAATTTTAAGGTACAAGTAAGATACCATTCTAAAACTCTGCTACAATAAAAAATGATGCTTATTAACTCCTGAAACAAATTTATACATATATAAATGATAAATGTTTTCCTTTATTCTTATCCTTCTACCTGCCACCTCCCTAGTCTATACAGTATACCCACATTGCTAGTACTAGCAATGTATCTGAAATTATGTAGTTCAATAAAAAAATAAATAAAAAAAAATAAAAAAATAAAACCCCAACAGTATGCCATTGTTTTAAGTCAATACAAGGACTGATCTCAAAGATTCAAAGATTGCTAGTTGAGATACACCTATGGAGTTCATATAGAAAGTATTTTCCATATTTAATGCTGAAACAAAATATTGCTTAAGAGAGCAGCAACACAATCTCAGATCTTACAGAATTGTAAGTCTTGTGTCTGCATTTATGACAGTTTTCTACAAAGAAAACCTAACTAGACATCTTAATTGGAAGTCCAGATTGCATTGATGGGCGTCGAGTGAAATAAAATACACTTTGCATTCTATTCATACAAGAGTGAGATAATTAGTTATATGGATATATAAACCTTCTTTGGAGGAGGTGGTGGTTTCTGCTGAAATGCCAGTTTTACAGCTTCAGCAGCAGTCTCTGGTTCCTTGTTCATTGTCTTCTTGGAATCAGATTCCGAAAGTACAACAAAGAAGTGATGGCATTTTTCACATTTCACAAATCGTGTAGATGCTGCAAGATATCAAATGGGGAAATCGGATCAAAATGTTCAGCCACACGCTTGCCTGAGCATAGGCATGTCTTTGGCAGTCATCCAACCTAAAGAAAAGTGATCATGACACTTACAGACAAAAGTCTCCACATGGGTGCATAAGTCTCCACATTTTGGACAACGCAGTTGATTCCCACCTTTACCAGAACCCCCTGAGGATTTTTTACTTCCACCCTCTGACACAGATTTCTGAAAAACAAAATGTTATAAAAAGTTATAAATGGTTTCAACAATAAAAACCATGTTTAAAAAAGTATCATACCACAAGAAATTTATATTTTAAATATTATAAAATCTAAAGTATACTCTATGCAGAGGTTTGGTTTCTAATCAATTTGTATCCGATGTAACCAAGAGTGAACAGCTCATTATAAATTTAAACATGCAAACAACTTGGCCTGGTTTGTGCCATGGTCTGTGACCTTTTTATTAAAAAAGTTTATATACATGTTGATAAAGGTCTGTATTAAAGGACACTATAGTCACCAGAACAACTAAAGCTTATTGAATTTGTTTTGGTGAGTAGAATCATTACCTTCAGGCTTTTTGCTGTAAACACTGTCTTTTCAGAGAAAATGCAGTGTTTACATTACAGCCTAGTGATAACTTCACTGGCCACTCCTTAGATAGCTTTTACATATCCTTCCTGGGTCATGGCTGCCTAAAACGCATCCAAACATTCAGTGTCTCCCCCCTCGGCATGCAGACACTGAACTTTCCTCGTAGAGATTCATTGATTCAATTCATCTCTATGAGGAGATGCTGATTGGCCAGGGCTGTGTTTGAATCATATTGGCTCTGCCCCTGATCTGCCTCTTTGTCAGTCTCAGCAAATCCTATGTGGAAGCACAGTGATTGGATCAGGCTACCACTTCTGATGATCAGCAGGCAGGTCTAAATGAAACAGGAACAAAGCCAGGAGCTGCAGACTTGAATACATTTGTGTTCCTGACCCTATAGTGCTCCTTTAAGGTGAATTTTTGTATCCTTAATATACGGTGGTCAAATGTGTTCTTTGAAACACATACACACACTGAAGACTTGAAACGTACAGAACTAAAATTCTTCTTCTTCTATAAAGAATACATATGTAGGGTGTATCATGGTTATTTTTGCCAGAATGCACATTTAAAACATAGTATATTCAGACACAAAAAATGTTTTAATCTTTCTCACCAAGTGACCAAATTACACACCATGCAAATCATATTTAAAACATATAAAATAAATGCATATAAAAGCTAAAGAACTGTGATTCAAATAAATATTACATTTTTTTCTAGACAAATGTAAAGAAAAATTAAATATACATACAAGTACGCTCACTCCCCAGGTCTCTACCAATCACACTCTCACTTTCTGTGCCTCCTCCAATCATGTGAAATCCAGGACATGCAGTTCAAGTCACTGGAATTTATAAAATTTTAGCCCTGCCACAGGCAAATGGCAGGGCTTTCCTTGGGGAGAACTGGTGTGCGGCAGGAAGTGCATATCTGGCTGGTAGACAGCCAGGCTGGCCCACCTGCAAATGCCATAGAAGGCTGCAGCTTACAGACAGGTGTGATAAGCATCATGTCACAATTACTATATGACAATACGCAGAATTATGATACACAATGAACAAGGACAACGTATACCGGCCTTAGAATGGCCAGACTTAACGTAACAAAGAACGGTCAAAATACTAGCCGAGGTCAGGGACACAGAAAGAGACAACGAGGAAGCAAGTCAAATGTCAAGGATACCAGAAATAAGGGAAAGTCAAAATACAAGCCAAAGTCAAATGCTAAAAAGAACTATAAACAAGAACGCACTCTGACAACCAACTAGTGGAAACCACGACAGGACACTGACTAAATGCTATTTTGAGTTTAAATAACCCTCCTAAGGTTATGATTGGTTGTACATAGCCTTTGACCCTAAAACGTGCGTGCGTACGTCACACGCATATTGGTGCCATCTTTTATGACGGAGGCAGGGCTATATTGTTTTGTGGGACCGCAGCGGCCAGCATTCATTATAACGCCACACCGGTCAGGGATCACTTCACGTGGGTGCTGAATGGCAAGCTTACTCGCCTCAGTTAAGTTATTCTTAAGAGCGTGACCGCAGCAATTGGATGCGGCCACGCTGTATGAAGGCGAGGGGGATGCGACACATCAGCAGCTCCTCAGAACTGATGACTGCTGGGATACAGCAAGAAGTCACATCCTAGCGTTCGAAAAGTGGTTAAATTAGCAGAGACCACATGGTAGTGGCAGCACACGACCATATCAAGGCAGCTGCTGGTAATCTGTGCTGGATGTGAGTGTCAGAGAATGTGTAATTTATTTATTCCCACACATTCCATATAGCCAGCACACCCCACCCACAACATACAGCTAGCTACCAAACACAATCCGTACTCTTTATCCGATTCACAGATAACACAGCAAGCGCACACACACACACACACACACACACACTACAAAGCCTAGGTGATGGCAGAGGATAAAACACAAGACTCCAGATTTTTGCAAAATAAATACAAATGGCAAAATGGAGGCAAAAGCCATGTTGTGACTATAGAAGAATTCTAGAATTTCCTTCTAGATTAGCTATTTTTGCCTTAATATTCCTTTTGGATTTTAAGGAAATTTCAGTTCAGCAAATAACCCTGTCAATGTCCAGAACTCTTGACTGAGGCTCAAGCTACCACTTTGATCCCTTTGACATTTTTAAATAAATTCCATACCCTTGCCACTCAATGTCACCATCTACTTTACTCAAACACCAAAGGCAGCCATGGTTGTTAGTCATCACTATCTAGACCAGTTCACCAGCACTCAATATCAACTTGACCCTGATTAAAGGGCAAGGAGACATTGTGTCCCAATTTATCTTTCTGTACGGAGGCTTTATTCCGGTTATTGATTTTCATATTTTGATTCTTTACCCTTCTACACCTTACCTTATTTCCATCTCCAGAGCCATCTTTGCTGGCACCATCTTTAGATGTGAAACACACAGGCGTTGCAGAAAAGTTTCTAAGTGGGATCTTTCTTAGAACGTAGGTTTCAAAATGCCCTGGTTTTCTATAAACAGACAAGTGGCCCCGGCCACATACAAAACCTGTAAGAAAAGAAACACAAGTAAATGCAATTAAGAAATGCCCAACCTTTGTCCTCAGCCTAACAAATAGGACATAGGCATAGTGTCCAAGTTTTGCTACATTGCAACAGCTGCAAAGGGTTTTGGCTACAGACACTAGAATGGTGTGAGTGATGCCATTTCAAAATAGGTCAGGGTGAAGAAAAGATCCAATATGTTTGATAACAGAAGTCCTGAAATACAGTTTTGATTTAAAAAAAAATATATATAATATTTAGAATGTTAGAATAAAATGATATTCTACAGTTTCCCACAAGGAGACAAAAGGGCATAAGCAATTATGCAGTACTGACAAATGTTATATCAGCAGGCAAAATGGTACTCAAATCTGCTTCTGTATGATGAAAGGCAGATCTATTTCTGTCAGGTAGATCACCTGAAACCCACATCATGTACTAAAGCTGGTGCTTTAACAAGCTATGGAAACAGGAAGACAAAGTGGACTATATTATGTGTGTACATAGAGTGAGAGAAAGCTGATCTGCAGGAGGAAATAGAAAGGACAGCTATTGAGAAGAGCCAGTCCGAGAAGAGTACTATAAGATGTAAATAGTGGGAACTCCCCCTCAAATACCAATATTAGAAGAAGAAGAAGAAGAAAAAAACAAAACAAAAAGGCAACAGTTTGTTTCCTTGGGCAAAGAAATAAATAAAATAAAAAATTTTCGTTTTTTTTTTTTTTAGGTCTCAGAAGTCTTTTGGGTATTTGACTAAGAAGATTTCCAGTTTAGCCAGATCTTTGATCAGAGAGAATCTTTAAAAGGAAGACTGCTTAAAAGTTCAGCAGCATAACTCCATCTGGCTAAACACTTACTCAGAAAGAAGTTGGCTTGCAAAAAGAGGGAATGTTGGTAGGTAGGGTACACTGCAATTTGTACACTAGCTATGAAATTTGAAAGCAGAGATAAACAGAAGAGAAAAAAAATAAATAAATAAACACACACACACACACACCACCACCACATAATAAAAAAAAAAAGCCAAAGATCTGCCACATGCACATAGGTCCTCTTGATGCCCAGATGAAACAAAGAATGGAAGACAGAAGTACAGCTGGCCTCAAATGAGGGACACCACATCAGGAAAAGGGTTTCATTGAAATATTGCCCATCACATTTTATAGTTTTTACCTACCCTTGCTTCATAGCTCTACATACGATTTATTTTAATTTTATGAGGATACCCCATACACCACCTATAATTCGAAGAATTACCTCTGCACTTTATCCATAGGCAGGGATTATTCCAGCCAGGCACATACACTGAAGCTGTATTGAAGCTCCAGAAGAGTGAGAGTGCACATCTTTTATCTTACCCATCACAAATACAGTTTTAAAATACTACACCATTATTTCTTCTCCGGTTCTTGCCACATACACCTTGTCAAGGATTACTGAAGCGCTGCACCTACCGCCCTGTTTTTATTGCCCATCACTCGTCTACATTTTGTAGTCTTACAATAATATAGAAGTCCCTTGGCATGCCAGTCCTATATTTTTTATATTGTATTTGTGTATATGTAGACTGTTGTATATGTTCATGAGTAGTTTGTGGCATTGTGGAAGATAACTATGAATATGTGGATGATCTGTCACGTGTATTTGTGGAGCTTCTTGTGGTATTGCATGTATGTGGATTGTCAGTGCTGTTGGGATTGTGTGGACTGATTGTGTTATTTGTATGAGGTGGAGGGCGTAGGTGGCAGCTCTGTATAGATCTAGCTATGTGAGCTTCCCTGGGGCCCAGGATGGCCAGGTACAGGTCAAAGGCAGGAGCTGCCATAGCAGTTGCAGGCTACCCTACTTCAGTGCAGATTCCTATTCATAAGTACTGGGAGGAAGTTGAGATAACTTCCTCTAAGTGCTGCCATCCGTAACTTGAGGATTGTCCCTAACCACTTGAAATCACTGCTCAGTTTGAACTACTTGAACTCCTGATAGGCCAGAGCCTGTATTGCTATGACAACCTTGAGTGCCATGCATGGCACATGTGCCATCGCTTAAAAAAGTACTTTTCAATCACTCAAGTGGAAAGTTCAGGGGGATTTTGATACCAAGCAAGATTATAGCCACAACTGTTCGAGATACAACCCACATGTAGCTTCTGGAGAAATACAAGCGGCTCAAAAAGAAAAAAAAGAAAAGAGTAGACGGTGTGATTGTTTCAAGGAGCACAAGATGATACTTTAACAAAAATGTGCTGCATGGTCAAGTTGCCAGTAGGAAAGCCTTTATTGCGCCTATGTCACAAAATAGCGCAGTTACAATATACCTGACAACTTGACAAGCCTCAGCTCATACTGTAATTTGGAGTGACAATACCAAACTAGAGAGATTTATGGTCACAACCATAAGCGCTATGTTTGGAGAGAGGTCAACAAGTCCTATTGTTAAAAGAATACCATACCCACTGTGAAGCATGGTGGTGGCTCAATAAGGTTTTGAGGGTGTGCAAGCTCTAAAGTCATGGGGAATCTTGTGAAAATTGATTGCAAATTGGCGGACACTCTTGTGCTTATGGTCATTGTCATGCTGGAAAGACCAAGTTAACCCTCCAGTAGTTACAGCAAAAAAAGGGTGAAAGTTAATATTATTTAGCCACTCAAGACGAATGGGCAGCTATTCCAGAGTTGCTGCAGGCAAGAAAAATAAAATTAGTAAAAAAATAAACAAAAAAACAAACAAAAAAAAAAAAAACCATTGTGGACAGTGGTCTCGATCCCAGAGCCACCAATCAGAGCGCCATTTGTAGGGGTGACAGAGGAGGTGGCAAGGCATCGATTAACACCAAGGACTCAAGAGAGCTCCACGTACCAACAGATAGCGAGGCGGAACTCTGTGCCGGATCAGAGGACTATTACAGCCCGGTGAAAACTTTGTGCACAGAGTGGGTGCTCTAAAGACAGCTTTGCGGGGATGTGGGCACGGGAACCCTGTTTTTTATGTATTAGTGTTAACAGGCGTCTGGCCGCTATTTAAATTATCTGTCCAAGTACAAACATCAAGTCGCCGGGTTTGTCGCAATGTCCTTGTTCTCCTGGGGACCTCCTGTTTAGGACCCAGGTATAGAAGTGTGACAAGTGTTCCAATAAATAATTTCTTCTTCACCAAGTCTCAGCTAGCGTTTGGGTATGACAGCAATACTTGATATCTGCACTGGGCTAGAATCACTAGGCTATAAACATACAGAGGAAAGGGGACCTTGGCGGCACGATTCCAATTCTAGGTGGACATCATGCAATTCTCTTATCAGTTCTCCAAGATTCTGGCTTCCGTAGAGAACACTGTGCCAAAATCCCTTATAACGCAGGTAAAAATATTACCCCCAACAGTTAAGACATTTCTGCATATACATTTGTTTACTCACAAAGTAAACAAGAATGTCTGTATAGAAGACAAGGTTAGCTCATCTCAGATAACATTTATGTATTGGCTTACAAGGCTTTGCAAATAGACTGAGTGGCAGAGTTCCAATGTGAACAGAGCTTTTCTCACCAAAAGGACAAACATCCCGAACACTATGGAATTGAAGTAAATTGGTATACAATACCTTTACCGGACTTCTTGATATTGTTTATAATGGCCTTAGGACACTAAATGAACAGGTCAAAGTATTGTCCACCCTAAAAATAAAGCTATAAAGGCAAGTGTCTATAGTTGATGAAAAAGGATGGCATAGCAATTTAGAAAGTTATGAGGTAATAAATATCAATTTAAATGCAGACACGTTTCCCCTTGAACTTCTGCACAGCATTAGTTTATTACTTCTAGTGTGGCTGTGGTGGACAGCCTGAAACCCTAACCGGGTACCTCCGCCAATCGCTGCTTACAGAGTTCCACAAGCACTGCACCAGAGCACTGTAGTCCCCACTTCCAGCGTTACAGCTTGGTTGAGGTCTTGCTGTCCTTCACCCACCCTGGACTCAAGACCAGGATCCAGCGGGTAGACCTTTCCTAGTCAAGAGAGCAAAGCAGGCTGCTCTTATGAGAGCAAGAGATTATAATCCCAGGGATTATAGTGATACAGCAATCATCAGAGCAGATACAGCCATTTCCCCCACACATGAGATGAGACTATGTTGGAGGTAAGCAGGAACTAATTTATTGGTAGCCACAACTGGAATTTTATGCAAGTCTCCATGCAACGGGCACTACCCCCGGACCTGAGAGTACACCAAATACAGAATCACATTGGCTCTCAGATCCAGGACACTCCCACACATAACTAGGTCAATCCCTCCTCTGTAAATAAAATAGGTGAGAGCTAACACTTAGAACAATAAGATACTACCACTACAGGATCTTGGGTAGTAAATCTAAGCCACTAGATATCTGTAATAAAGCATACAATACAGATCATAGTGCAATATGTTAATAAACAATAGTATTCAATTGTACTCCTGGGTTCAGAAGGTCACATGAAATTTCTGTTGTCCGTATTATGACGCTCAGCGGATATTTTAAGAGATTTTTTGAACTGGATTAAACTAGGTCTGCACTGTTCCGATTTACATATGACATTGTTTTGAGTCTATGAGAATATGGGTTATATCAAGTGAGGAAAAAGATAAATCTCTGCCCTTAAGTACACAATAATAGCGTTTAAGGGAAAAGGAGTCCATAAATACTAATAAGAAAGAAGTATAGTCATTATGTAAATCGGAACAGTGCAGACATAGCTTAATCCATTTCAATAAATCTCTTAAATATCCGCCGAGCGTCATAATATGGACGACGGATATGAGGTCATATGACCTTCTGAACCGGGAAGTACAATTGAATACATGCGGGAAAAGGACACAGCCTGTATATAAAATGAAGACTGGAAGAAGTAGAGTTTATGCACTTGAAAAAGACTTACTGAACGGTCGAAATGCGTTGTGCTGTCTGTATACTGCTTGCTATCAGTATACTCTTCGTTTTTATACCTCATGTATCATTTACCCAATAAATTGTTTTGCATTTATCCAAGTCTGGAATCAAGATCCTTGAAGGGAAGCAGAACCTGGGAACAGTAATCAGGAAGTTATATTTATTGAAGAGTCCTGAAAGTCTGATCCTGCTAATAGGCTCAGCACCATGTGAGTTTAACCAGTTTGACTTACAATTTCTCTTTTTAGTTTATTAACATATCGCACTATGATCTGTATTTTATGCTTTATTACAGATATCTAGTGGCTTATATTTACTACCAAAGATCCTGCAGTGGTAGTATTTTATTGTTCTATGTGTTAGCTCTCACCTATTTATTTATTTTTTTGGTTATTTATATGCGTTGTGTGACATAACACTGGTGATCGTAGCAACACTTTTATTCCAGCACTGTATTTTGTTTGTATTTTACTTATTATCAATCCCTCCTCTGTACCGGAGTCATGGAGTCAAGTATTGTATTAACTCATTCTCCTGACACAAAGACACATTTTTATAAAACTCCCAAAAATACCTTTCAAACTAACAAAACCCCCACAAAAAACAAAAAATTCCTGTACCGATCTGGGTGATTCTTGGATGTCTTATTTTTGACCGACCGCACACATGGTCCTATGCCCAAAACAGTTCCAGAGAATCAGGACTAGCAGTCGGTCTAGTTCGGTAGTTTAAAAAAAAACAAACAAAAAAACAAACTAACGAACATAGTCAATATTCCTTCCGTGGAGCTTGTTCACCTCATTCAGACGAACGATTTCACCGAACAGCGCTCTTTGAGGATGTAAAGTATTGAACGTAGGCTATGATGGAAGTTCAGCAGTATTTGGGAGTTTCAGTGTCCGAAAACAGTTTCATGAACGCGACGACCAAACACCGCTGCCTGCGTTAGTGGAAACAAGATGGCCGCCACCTTGCGGTCGACCATGCAAACAGCGGTCACCCACATGAACAATTAGAACACGGCGGTTAGAATCGTTAAGAGGTGATGACGGGGCTAAACAAGCTCCAGTGTGGTTCCTGGTGCGTGCGTCTGTTCAGTTCCCGAACAGGATAGCAAAAAGGCACGAACAAAGTCGTTTATGAACTACAGTGCGGTATAAGTGGCAAAGACCTACACCTATAAGTGGAGCGCTCAAAGGTGTAGGTCTTTGCCACTTATACCGCACTGTAGTTTATGATTGTTTAGTGGAAAAGAGGGTATTTCCACACAGGTGTATAGACCTGCCTGTAAATCACTCATGTTTTTAAAGCACTTTGTTACACACATTCCTCCGTAAAAGGAGGTAACTTTGGACTGGTATTCAAAGTCGTTTATGAGCCTTTTTGCATGGCCCATAGTCCTGAGGTGAGCAGACAGGCCCCTCCAAGAACCAGTGGCGAGGTTACTTTCAGTTTATCCATAGCCAGGTTCATATTGGCAAGCAACGATCTACGTTTACGTGTTTAATTCAGCTCTCTTGGTTGAAAAAAAAAAAAATTATATATATATATATATATATATATATATATATATATATATATATATATATATATATAAAAAAAAATGTACAACTTTGTGGCAAAATTATCTGTGTTCTACATATTGCCCATATTCAGTTTTTAAGATGTATTTTTTTCCCCTTATAGTATTGACTACTTTCTTATGCAGAGCATGAGTTTTAGAAATAGTCAAAGTCAAAGCAAGCTTCCACCACTTCCATGTTAACCTTACCCTGATCCAAGTTATCACCAGATATATTAGCTGGTCTCTTCTCTCACAAGCAGAGCCTTCACAATAGTTTCTGAAAAAAAAAGTCTGCCAAACCACATCATATAAGGGCTTAGTCAGGCATCATGTGACCAGATGAGGAGGAGAGAAAAGACCACATGTGCTAATCTGTGCATACACACACAGAATGGAAAACAAGTCAGCCTACACAGAGTATCAGGAGAACAATTACGTTCCCAGTTATGGAGCATATGAAAACAGATAATAAAAAAAAAAGTTAAAAATTAAACACACACACACACACACACACACACACACAAATACAATACTTCTGCAAAAACAATTTCTTCTAAAGATACCCGCATGCTGGCTTCACTGCCTGTCAAAACATCCTACACTCCCCCCGCTAACCTAAGTAATGAAAGAACCAGTTCTAGTTGGTTTCTCCTGCTCGCCCCATAATTCAATCCTGCCAAGACCTGTAAATCACTGTCATAGCCAGGACTATGGGACGCCAGGAACTCTCATTCAGTGTTAGGCTGATCAAAAATGGTTTATCACTGGATGGAGAGACAGTGCCAGGGGACTCCAAGCACTAGTACTGGAAAAAACAAAATAGCCGCTTGTGCCAAGAGCACACATATTCTAAACACCCTATTGAGATTGTCTCTAAAACAAGTCGTTGAGGAGCCAACTCGTAAAGAGACCATACTAGCTTTAGTGTTAAAATTGGAGATTTGGTATCAGATATTACTGTGGGTGAAAGTTTAGGATCCAGTGATCATCAGTCTGTGTGGTTTAATACAAGAACAGTGACTGAGTCACACCACACAAAAATAAAAATAAAAATAAAGTTTTAGACTTTAAAAAAAAAAAAAAAAAATTAACAAAGACAGACTTTTTGAAAATTAGAATATGTGTAAAAGGAGTCATTATCAGACTGGAGTTCGAGAAATTGGATTATTTCAAAGTTGCACTGCTGAAGGCAAAAAAATAAAAAAAAAAATTGCATCAGGCTGGTCAGTAAAAGCAAAAAATGTATCTATATTATATATAAAAAAAATAAAAATTAAAAAACCACTGTCGTACTTCACAGATATGTCCAAAATAGTGTAAAATAATAATAATAAAAAAAAAATTATAGCACAGTCAGTGAAAACAGGGGACAAAACATTTTTAGATACATAAATGAGAAAAGGAAAGTAAAACAAGGATTAGTTAGATTAAAAACTAAAGAAGCAAGGTATGTAGAAGAGGATAAAAAAGTCTAGCTGACTGCCTCAATGAATATTTTTTGTGCACTATTTACAGATGAAAACGAAGGAAAGGGGCCTCAGTTAGGAAAAAGGACAAATTCGTTATTTTTACATGTGAGTTCACAGAGGAAGAGGTTCTATTTTAACTGTTAAAAGTAAAAGACAAACAAGTCAATGGGACCTGATGGAATACACCCAAAGTCATTAAGAGACTTTAGTGGTGTACTAGCAAAACCATTAACAGATTTATTTAACAATATTTATTTAATCAATCATTGTTAACAGGAGTAGTCCCAGAAGATTGGAAGTTAGCAAATGTTGTGCCCATTCACAAGAAAGGTAGTAGAAAGGAGCCAGGCAACTATATGCCAGTAAGCCTTACTTCAATAGTGGGGATGTAATGGAAACCATGTTAAAGGATAGGATTGTTGAACATCTAAAAACACATGGATTTCAAGATCAGAGACAACATGGGTTTACTTCTGAGAGATCATGCCCAACTAATCGAATTCATTTTTTTGATTGGGTAACTAAAATAACATATCAAGGTGGTGCAGTAGACATTGCTTACCTAGATTTCAATAAGGCTTTTGATGCTGTTGCACATAGAAGGCTTATCAATAAACTGCAATCTTTAAGTTTGGATTCCAAAATTGTTGAATAGGTAAGGCAGTGGCTGAGTGACAGGCAACAGAGGGTTGTAGTCAATGGAGTATATTCGAAGCATGGGCTTGTCACCAGTGGGGTACCTCAAGGATCTGTACTTGGACCCATTCTCTTTAATATTTTTTATTAGTGATATTGCAGAAGGTCTTGATGGTAAGGTATGTCTTTTTGCTGATGATACCAAGATATGTAACAGGGTTGATGTTCCAGGAGGGATAAGCCAAATGATTTAGGTAAACTAGAAAAATGGTCAGAGTTGTGGCCCCTCCAAGAACCAGTGGCGAGGTTACTTTCACCACAGTAGGTACGATCAGTTTACCCATAGCCAGGTTCATATTGGCAAGCAACGATCTACGCATACATGTTCAATTCAGCTCTTTAATGTGGATAAGTGCAAGATAATGCACCCTGGACTTAAAAACCCAAGGGCAGAGTACAGAATATTTGACAGAGTCCTAACCACAACATCTGAGGAAAGGGATTTAGGAGTAATTATTTCAGTTGACTCAATGGGACACTAGCCACCAGAACAGCTACAGCTTATTGAATTTGTTCTGGTAAGTAGAATCATTACCTTCAGTTTTTCTGCTGTAAACAGTTTTTTCAGAGAAAAAGCAGTGTTTACATTACAGCCTAATGATAACTTCACTAGCCACTCCTCAGATGGCTGTTAGAGATTATTCCTGGGTCATGGCTGCCTAAAATGCATCCAAACATTCAGTGTCTCCTCCCTCTGCATGCAGACTCCGAACTTTCCTCGTAGAGATTCATTGATTCAATTCATCTCTATGAGGAGATGCTGATTGGCCAGGGCTGTGTTTGAATTTAGCTGGCTCTGCCTCCTTGTCAGTCCTAGCCAATCCTATGGGGAAGCATTGTGATTGGATCAGGCCACCACTTCAGCAGACAGGTCTAAAGGAAACAGGCAAAAAGCCAGGAGCTGCAGACTTGAATACAAGTAAGATTTCTATATTTAGGGAGGCATGAGGGGGAATGGGGGTTTTAATCAATATACAGTCAGGAATACATGTTTGTGTTCCTGACCCTATAGTGATCCTTTAAAAGGTAGGCAAACAATGTAATAGAGCAGCATGAAATGCTAGCAGAATGCTTGGTTGTATAGGGAGAGGTATTCGCAGTAAAACGAGGGAAGTGCTCATGCCATTGTACAGAACACTGGTGAGACCTCACTTGGAGTATTGTACACCAGTACTGGAGACCGTATCTTCAGAAGGATATTGATACCTTAGAGAGGGTTCAGAGAAGGCCTAATAAACTGGTTCATGGATTGCAGGATATAACTTACAAGGAAAGGTTAAAGGAACTTAAAGCGGCACTGTCATGACCGAATCCAGGTTTTTTTTGTTTTGTTTTTTTAACCCCCCTCCCCCGCTACATCTAACCGACCCCTTAGTCACCCCCAAATGCCCCTAAGCCCCCCCCCCCAGATTAACTATTTTTAATCTTTATTTTCTACCCCGATCTATATTCAGGTCGCCACCATCTTTGTGTGGGTAGAGGAAGTCCCTGTGGAACACGTCATCTGCCCACACGAGATAGCGCTGTGAGATTCCTCCACATGCCCAGTTAAACACTTAGGCATGCGAACAGGAATTTCATATATTCATTCGTCATAAAGACAAATGAATGAATAGAAAAATCAGACGAACAAACACTGTATCAGTGCTCGTTTGTTCGTGCAGTTTATCACAAGGAGAGAGCTAACGGCAGGCAGCACCCTCCTTGTAAAATGTAAAGATAGAAGCGGCAGAGAGCAGTGCTGCCCGCCACTTCATAAGCCCCCCCTCACTCTATTAGGGTCAATATGACCCCCCATAATAGCATAAGGGAGATTAAAATCTCCCGAATGCCCCTACTCGCTATACCGTGAGTAGGGGCATGTCTACTAAACAGTGAGCAGCCTGTGGCAGTAGGTGCCCCCCCTCCCCCGATTGTCCATTATGGAAAAGTTCGTTTTTTTTCAAAAGGGCTTTTCCTAAATTTCATTAACAAAAAACGGCTAGTGTATCCCCGGGGGTGGGTCCCCAGGCCCCCCAGTCCCCAGGGCAACCCAGGGGTCAGGTCCCCCAGTGTAACCCCAGGGGGTCAGGTCCCCAGCATAACCCCGGGGGTCAGGTCCCCAGTCTAATAACCCCGGGGTCAGGTCCCAGTGTAATAGCCCCGGGGGTCAGGTCCCCCAGTGCCCTGGTCAGGTCCCCAACCCCGGGGGTCAGGTCCCCCAGTGTAATAACCCCGGGGGTCAGGTCCCCCCCCAGCTAAACCTGGGGTCAGGTCCCCCCCAGTGCTATAACCCAGGGGGTCAGGTCAGGGGGTCAGGTCCCAGATATAATAACCCTAGCCCTTAGTGTAATAACCCCGGTAATAACCCCGGGGGTAGGATCTCTGGTTTCAGTTACAGCCAGCTGATGAGCTCAATAGTCACCTCCCCCCGGGGGGGTTACCCCATTACCCCAGCCAGCAGGGTTGGCAGAGCTGGCTGTACAGGCTAGTCAGTTACCTGGCATGCGGTGTATTTTCCTGTCTGGCTGAGAGTGATTGGAGTGATGCCGTATGAAGCAGAGGTGCGTCACTCACTGTCCCAGCAGGTGTCAGGCCGCTCACTCACTGACCCCCACTCACACTCACCTCTGTGCAGCGAGCAGGTGATTAGCCGGGCGGCCCGGGAGCAGCTGGGGCCGGGCATGATCCCGCCTTCGGTAAGAGTGCTGACACGGCTCCGGGAGAGCAGATGGCGGGTCACTCGGGCCGGACTAGGCGCCACCAGCAGCGACAGCTCGAGCCGAGTAAATAACAGGCCCAGTGCAAACCCACAGTGTCGTCAGCCAGGCTGAAGAATGAGAAGCAGCCAATCACCGAGCCGGCACGAAAAGGTGACGAATTACGTGCAACGGGCGACGCCTCCATTCAGGTTTCAGACGTGCTTACGTGCGTTCCACGCCATACTCGGCGTGCGTTCCACGTGCCTTTTACTTCCCCAAACAGCTTCCCGCGGCCATATTTACTACTGGCAAGAGTATTACGACACAAAATGTCATGCATCAAACTTAAGACACATCGCTTTACTTGTTCATACTATAGCACTGCCAACAGCAGGTGTGGGTTCGTGTGAGTTTTGTTCATTGTAATGTCTAGTTGTGTAATCTCTGACTAGACCTTCACCAGATCAGCTATGTAGCTCGAGACCTAACAGGACTTTACGTAACCCCGCCCACCCTTCTTGACGTCGCAGTCCAGGAGCACGTGCTTGGAGTTGTGACAGCTGCAGTGCATGCTGGGTGCAGTGCTGATTGTTAGTTATTGTTTGCCAACATTTGATAAGGAAGTTACAGGGACACTCTGTGGGAGAGTTATTAACTCATCCCCAAAACATTTACGTATAAGTTATTTCATCTTTTGTTGCTCCCTGTAATTTGTAACATTGCATGGAAAACATCTATCATGGATATCCTCCCATAATGAACCCAGGACAGAATAAGTCCATCCTGATGAAATAATTATATCATGCGGTCAGTGCCGTCTTTAATATTGCTTAAACCCTGGGCAACCACCTGCATGCACTGGCGGATCCAGAGTCTCATCTCGGGAGGGGCACTCATAGATTATTTAAAGAAACAATCCAGGCACAGTAACCACTACAGCTCTCTGTAGTGGTTATGGTGCGAGGAGTGCCGTGGCACCCTCCCAGAGTAAATAGTCAAACGGTTTAAAAACAGTTTGACAATTTACTTGGGGTCTGCCAGGATAGGGGCTGTAGTAGGGGATAGAGCCTCTAGTAGTGTGTGTGTGTGAGAGTAGGCAGTGTGTGTGTGTATGGGAGGCACTGAGTGTGTGAAGGATGCAGGGTGGGTATGGGAGACAGTGTGTGAGGGGCAGGGCCGTCTTTAATATTGATTGGACCCTGGGCAAAACATTTGCTTGGGCCCCCTGGACCATGTACACCCTCCCCAGGCGTGCAAACACGTTATCACCCTTAACGCAGTGGCTACCTAAAGTAGAGAGGTGCAAGAATATTTTTTTTGGGCCTCCCTATTGCAAGGATGTTTAAAAGGTAGATCCCCATCTGTTGTGCAACTCCAGCAATGCCTTGACAGCTGGGGCTCTACCATTTATCCATATTTGCAGGTTTGTATTTAGCACTAAGCTGTTTTTGTGTGTTTCAATGTAAACAGGTTTTTGTATGGAATATGTTTGTATGTGGCATTGGCGTTTGAAGGTAAGCATGTATTTATGTGTAGTGATGGTTTTTGAATGCAGGGGTGTGTATACATATAATGTTGGTGTTTAACACAGACGTGTATTTGTATGTTGTGCTGAAGCTTGAATGCAGGGGTGTATTTGTGTGTAGTGTTAGCGTGTGAATGTTGAGATGTATGCACATATACACACACAAACACACAGGTAGATATGCACACAACCTGACACACAAATACACACCCTGACACACATACTAATAACATAACATACAGATACACTGAAACACACAAAGACAACGTACAGATACACACTGACACACATACAGACACACTGATACACATCCTGACATACACAAAGATACAAACACTGACACACATGCAGTTACACAGACACACATATACACACCTGACACACTTGCAGATACACACACACACAGACTTCATACAGATACACACACATATATACACACTGACAAACACACAGATACAAAAAATGACAACATATAGATACACACACAGATATACAGACAAACTGACATACAAACATACACTGATAGATATACTTACACAGACACATAAACTGACAGACATACTGACACATAGACAGACAGATATATACTGAGACACACACAGACATACTGACACACTGACAGACATGCTGACACATTCACCAACACACACACCGACATACAGACACAAAGAGTCAAATTGATACAGACATGCACACACCGACATACAGACATGCACACACTGACATACATATGGACACACAGAGACACATACACTAACAGACATGCTGACACACACACACATATACTGACAGACATATTGACACACATTCACAGACACACACACAGGCATACTGACACACACACGCACTGACAGACATACTGACACATACACTGACAGACATACTGACACATACACTGACAGACATACTAACACACGCACTGACAGACATACTGACACACACACGCACTGACAGACATACTGACACATACACTGACAGACATACTGACACACACACGCACTGACAGACATACTGACACACGCACTGACAGACATACTGACACACACACTGACAGACATACTGACACACGCACTGACAGACATACTGACACACGCACTGACAGACATACTGACACACGCACTGACAGACATACTGACACATTCACAGATACACATGCAAAATTTACACTATTAAACCCACCCTTTCTACGTTGGAGGGTGACTTTCCTACCAGTGGCTGAAGCTGCTGGGAGTTGGGGTCTGGCTAGCTCGGCCCGGACCCCCACCGCTCTGCCTCTTCCTCCTCCCGCGCGATCCTCTCTCTATGGGAGGAAGTGACGTGCAGCCGTCACTTCCTCCTAGCCGGCTGCCAAAAAGCAAGAGGGCCTGGTCACGCTCTTAAAGCGCCAGAGCGCAAGACCGGGCCCCTGCTGACAGAAGCCCACCGGGTGCGTGGCTGCACCGGCAGTTGGGAAAAATGCTTGAGGTCAGCGGGGCCCACGGTGCAGCTACTTCGGGCCCCCAAGAGTACCTGGGCCCGGGGCAGCTGCCCGTTTGCCCCGCGGTAAAGATGGCCCTGGTGAGGGGTGCAGAGTGTGTGTACGGGAGGCAGTGCATGTGGGCCAGTGTGTGTAGAGGGGTGCAGTGGGAGCACTGTGTGTTTGTGTGAGGGGTGTAGTGTGTGCATGGGAGTGCAGTGTGTATATGTGAGGTGCAGTGGAAGCACTGTGTGTATGGGGCCAGTGTGTGTATGAAGGTGTAGTGGTGGCAGTGTGTGTATGGGAGTGCAGTTGGGGAAGTGTGTGTATGTGGGTGCAGTGTGTGTGTGTGTGTGTGGGGTAGATGTGTATGGGGGTGTAGTGTGTGTGGGGGGAGAAGTGTGTGAGGGTGTACTGTTTGTGTGGGGGAGCACTGTGTGTGAGTGGGGGTGCAGTATGTGCAGTGTGTGTGTGGGGTGCAGTGTTTGTATGGGGAGCACTGTGTGTATGTGGGGTGCAGTGTTTGTATGGGGAGCACTGTGTGTATGTGGAGAAGTGTGTGTGGGGGTGCAGTGTTTGTATGTGGAGAAGTGTGTGTGTGTGGGGTGCATTGTTTGTATGGGGAGCACTGTGTCTATGTGGAGAAGTGTGTGTATGGGGGGGTGCAGTGTTTGTATGGGCAGCACTGTGTGTATTTGGGGTGCAGTGTTTGTATGGGGAGCACTGTGTGTGTGTGTGGGGTGCAGTGTTTGTATGGGGAGCACTGTGTGTATGTGGAGAAGTGTGTGTGTGGGGTGCAGTGTTTTTATGGGGAGCACTGTGTGTGTGTGGGGTGCAGTGTTTGTATGGGGAGCACTGTGTGTATGTGGAAAAGTGTGTGTGTGTGGGGTGCAGTGTTTGTATGGGGAGCAAAATCCAAAACACTGTGTGTAATCTCTGAGGTTAGCTTAATACCCCAGTTTGTGGCGCTAAAAAAGCTGCTAGAACACACAAATAGGACTTAACCACAGAGGTCCTACAAGAGACAAGTTACAGCTATACAGGATAGTGTGCAGCGCATAAAAAATATAAACAAAAACCACATATAAGTGAAAACTTCCACCTTGGGTGAATAAATAATAATAAATAAGTACCCCAATGAGATGGTTATCAGAAAGGGTATGTCTTATCTATAAAAAAATAGAAAGATCATAGCATAATACTGTGATGATAAATAAATTGAATAAAGCAATCTGTATGGTCCAACTCACATATAGTAGAGCCTGTTACAAACTGGCTCAGGTATAGTAGCTTAAGCAAGGTATCCTCAAGTGGAATCACGAAAGCTGCAGCTTGATCCTCAATATAAAGTGCATAGACATCAATTAGAAGAATAGCAGCAATACAATTTATTAAAATCAATAATAAAAGCTTACATATGAAATTCTGGAAATCCAGCGAAATAGCACAACGCGTTTCGACGTTATAATACGTCTTCCTCAGGTGCAATATTGTTATAACATTTCATCCACAATTTAAAACAAGATTGGGCGCGAAAAACGGGTACTTAGAACCCGCCCCCCGCGTCCACAAACCAATCAGCTTCCTTCCTCATGTCTCCCAATCCAATCCTCTATGGTCCAGTCGTCATATTCTTCTACTTCCGCGTTCGTGCGTTCCACCGCGAGCACTTCCGGGTTCACTTGCGTTCCATCCGTGATACCGATGCGTTCCAGCACTCGTTTCATGCGGTTCACAGCGGAGAATTACCCTAAATTCCTCTTCACTTTTACTGTTGTGTCAAATCATTGTCATAATTAGTCCTCATAATGTGGCACTCCACAGCACAGTCCCCACATAAAAATAGAAACAGAGGGAAGGGTGATAGAAGAGGAAGGGGGACATAAAAATATATAAATAAGTGTGGGGTGCAGTGTTTGTATGGGGAGCACTGTGTGTATGTGGAAAAGTGTGTGTGTGTGGGGTGCAGTGTTTGTATGGGGAGCACTGTGTGTATGTGGAAAAGTGTGTGTGTGTGGGGTGCAGTGTTTGTATGGGGAGCACTGTGTGTATGGGGTGCAGTGTTTGTATGGGGAGCACTGTGTGTGTGGGGGATGCAGTGTTTGTATGGGGAGCACTGTGTATATGTGGGGTACAGTGTTTGTATGGGGAGCACTGTGTGTATGTGGAGAAGTGTGTATG